TTTCAACTTCCTCCTATCGCTGCTCCGGTTTCTAAAGAAGATTCCGTTCACATTGATCCATTTCCTTCTGAGATCCCCCCTGATGAGTACATCTCCATTGTTCCCTATGACCTTGTTCCCTCTTCTCCTCTTTCTCCCTAGCCTGCTCATTCTCCTCCTCCGTTGTTAGTTTATTCTCGTCGTCAGGCTCTTCCTCCACCAGTTGTCTCTGTCCCTACCGCTGATCCTCCTACTTTTGACGACTCTAATCCTGTTGCACACTGATATCCTACTCAAGAGCGTCATCCTCCAAACAGGTTGGGTTGGTCTAATACATGTTTTTCTGCTTCCTATCGTACTATTTTGTCCGATATTCATTCTTTTTCAAAACCTCAGTCTTAAGGAGGCCTGTCAAGATTCCCCTTCAGTTCCAGCTATGGAGAATGAGTTGTTTACCTTACAGAAGACTAACACTTGGGTGTTGGTTCCGTCAATGTCATGAAACCCGGACCGGACCGGCTAGTCGGACCGAGAACCGGGCCTTGTTCTGGCCCGATCAACCTCCTAAAACCGGAGTGGGAGTAAAACCGGTGTAAAAATGAAAAACCGGAAGACCCGGCGGTCGAACCGGCAAAACCGGTGACCCGGACCGGATTTTGAGCGTCAGCCAGTTTTTATTCTTGCTTTTTTGTTTCTCCATCAGCTTTTTTTTATTCTTTTCTTTCTTTCTTTCTTATATATTTATATATATAAATATATTTCAAAATTATGACTAAAAATTCTTACTTCAAGAGTCTCCTCTCATAAGGAAGAGTCTTATTAGAAGCTTGAGAAGATTATGAAAGTCTAAGATTTTTCAAAAAGAACCTATAAAATTCTATGTGGGATTCAATCAAATTATTTGAAACATATTGATTTGAGGGAGAGTTGAAAATTTCATTTTCCTCCAAAATTAAATCTAGCGTTCAATCAATTTGTTTGGAGGGAATGTTTAAAAAATTTAGGGTATGTTTGGTTTGGATTTGTAGAGTGGTTTTGGGAAAATCATTTTAAAAATTTTGTTTGGTTTGTAAATTTTCCAAAACAATTTCCAAAATCACTCTCTCTCTCTTACCTATCAATCAATCACTTTTTCTCTCTCCTCTATCCTTCTCAATCACTTTTTCTCTCACACATATCTACTCAATTATAATAAAATATCAAATCATTACAAACTCCCAAACTCCAAAACTACCTTCAAAATACACAACCAAACAAACCAAAAAAATTTATAAACTCTCTCCCCAAAACAATTTTTAAAAACTACTCTTCCAAAACCAAACCAAACATACCCTTAATTTGTTTAAAACAAGTGACTTTTTTTTTTTTATCAATTAAGACTTTATTAAATATTATTCATAAATACTATGCAACAATTTTTATTTTTATTTCAGTATTTATATATATTTTTATTTATTTATAATTTATAGTTATATTTTTTAATTATATAATATTAATTATGACGTCACAGTTCAACCGCTTTGACTAAACAGTTGAACCGGTGACCCGTCCACCCGGTCCCTTTTCCGGTTCGCTCACCGGTCCGGTTTTCAAAACATTAGGTTTCGTTGCCTGCTGACAAGAATCTGGTTGGTTGCAAATAGATCTATAGTCCGGTTTTCAAAACATTAGGTTTCGTTGCCTGCTGACAAGAATCTGGTTGGTTGCAAATAGATCTATAAAGTCAAGACTCATTCTGATGGTCATTTCGAGCGATACAAAGCTTGCCTGGTTGCTAAGGGTTTATCGCAGGAATATGGTATTGATTATGAAGAGACCTTTGTCCCTGTTGCCAAGATGACTACCGGTCGTACCTTAATTTTTGTTGCCGCTATTCGACATTGGTCTCTCTATCATATGGACGTCAAGAATGCTTTTCTTAATGGTCATCTCACTAAGGAGGTCTACATGCGTCCACCCCCTGGCCTTCCCCATTTCTCTGGGCAGGTTTGTCGTCTTTGGTGTGCTCTGTATGGTTTGAAACAATCTCCTCATGCTTGGTATGACCGCTTTCAGACTACTGTTATTGAGCTTGAGCTTCATCCTTCTGCTTCCGACTCTGCATTGTTTCTAAGACATACCTCTACTGGTTTTGTTGCTCTCTCACTATATGTGGATGATATGATAATCACTAATTCTGACTCTTCCGCTATCTATGAGGTCAAGCAGCATCTCTTCCGCACCTTCAAAATGAAGGATCTGAGTCCATTGCGGTATTTTCTTAGTATTGAGGTTGTTTCTTTCCCAAAGAATTATTTTCTACTTCAGGCTAAGTATGCTAATGAGGTCATTCACCGTGTTGGACTCACTAATACTAAGGTTTCTGATACACCTATTGAATTTAATGTGAAGCTTCACTCTACTGATGGTGTCCCTCTAGATGATCCTACTTTATATAGCGAGCTTGTGGGTTGCTTAGTCTATCTGACGGTTACGCGTCTTGATCTTACCTATGTTGTCTATGTGGTTAGTCAATTTGTTTCTACCCCTCGCTCTACACATTGGGCTGCATTGGTTCGGATTATTCACTATCTCCAAGTTACTATCTTTCAGGATTTACTATTGTCCTCTACTTCCTCTCTGGATTTGGTGGCTTATATTGATTCTGATTAGACTGGTGATGTTACTGATCACAAGTCCACGTCTAGTTTTTGTATGTTTCTTGGCGATTCCTTGATCTCTTGAAAAAGCAAGAAACAAACTGTTGTTGCTTGCTCCACTGCCGAAGCTGAGTACCGTGCTATGGCTCTTGCTACTGCTGAGATTGTTTGGCTTCGTTGTCTCTTATTTGATTTGGGTGTCCCTCAGTCTTCTCCGACCTCCCTCTATTGTGACAACCGTAGTGCTATTAAGATTGCTCATAACATTGTCTTCCATGAGCGAACAAAGCACATTAAGATTGATTGTCACTTTGTCTGTCACCATCTGCAGTCTGGCTCTATCTCGCTTCCTTTCGTCTCTTCGACTTTGCAACTTGCTGACTTCTTACCAAGACTCAAACCATTGCTCGGTTTCACTTTCTTCTTAGCATACTCTCAGTGTTTTCTGCTAAAACACCTTGAGTTTAAGCGGGGGTGTGAGAATATTACGTTTCATGTATATATGACCATTTATATATTCTGTATATATTAGGAATTTTATTCCTTTTTCAGTTTTAGGGTTAGATTGATATATAAACCAATGTATTCTTCTATTTTACATAATTGAATATACAGTTCTTATTCAGAAATCTTACATCAATTTTTATATTCTTTATTGGAACATCTCAACATTTCTTATTTTTTCCAATCAATCATTAACAAAGAAGAGTTTATAATGAATTTCCTGAGTTCTGTTTAAGAACAAAATCTAAAAGTATGATGGCAAAATGTTCACTTCAGAAGCAGCAAATGATAAGCAGTTTCTATCCCACATGAAGTACGAGACTACATCAAAATTATAAAACAGATAGGTCTGGTAGAGACTGCTTAAATAGCGCAAGTACCATATGCATAGCAACATTTTAAAAAAAAAAATCAACATCTACTGAGCCTGACAATTACAATAAATGCAGTAAAAAAAAAAAAAAGTAACCTGTATCTGAACACCACAAGAAGTAGTTCCAAGAAAAATAAAAATAAAAATAAAAAGCAGAGAAGGAAATAAGCTTAATACGTGAGGTAGAAAACTCCTACTGACAGTTCAATACCAGACGTCCAGTACCAATGGCAATGCACCTAGTATTGGGAGGAGAAAAATAAGATTCAAAAACTCCAATGTGCACAGACTACAGCATTGCAAAAAGGTACAATTTTTAAGACAAGGTTGGTCCACTCTGTTGAATGATAAGCTGAAGATGTTTAGTGCTGTTGATGGAATTTTTCAGTTCATTAGAACTTGATAGGGAGAAGATAAGAGTTGGCGATTCATGTTACAAAGTCAAGAGCAGGTGGTGAGCCGAAGAGTAGATTTATTTAGGAAAGCTGAAAGTGTCATGTGTTGATTACTTGCGAGATGGCCAATAGAGTAGAGAGAGTCTGCGGATGAAACCAAAAAGAGATTTAGACACTTCAAATCTGATTCTGAATCTCCAGCAAGGAGTGCATGGATGTTCTTAACCTGCAGATCTACAGGGGGCTAAACTAAGATGTTCAGGCCAAGCTGAGGACTGACCAAAGTGTAAAACATAACAAATTTTATATAAGGTAATGTATTTGTGTATGCAATTGCTACAAATATAAATATGTTCAAGTGCACAGCCCAAAAAAACAGAGCAATCCAAAATCAAACTGTTGATTTTCTTATCCCAAATACAAGGTGTGTATAAGGATTATATGAAACATGTGTTCCTTTTCATTGATAAAACATTTTCAATTACACATTCTTCATTTATGAACAAGATGGTTTTGAATAAAATAATGGATTTCACACAACAGTTCCAGATATTTACTCACTGCCACAATAGTTCCCATGTTTCATAAGATCGTAAATACATAATCTGATGTAACACGCCTACAGCATAGTATCTGCAACCTTTTTTCTCACATTGCACTAATAATTCTCTATTTTTTCCAAAACTCAAATATTTTTCATCTCTTTTCACTGCATTACTAATATTCCCAGGGTCTGCTCCTCTTAGAGACTTAAAAAAAAAAATCATAGAACTGCAGTCACTCAAACTAAAAACTGGAATCATCAGTATGTTTTATCAGCTGACCTTGCAAATTTCATTAATGATTCACAAAGTATGAAAAACTGCATCATTTTTTATTTATTTTTTTGGGGACGGGGGAGGGACAGAGGAAGGGAGAGGAGGCATTTGCACACAAGAAAGTGGAACACACCAAAAACAAATAGAGGGGTCAGCAGAATCAACCTCAGCTCGAAACACTTCATATGCCAACAAACAAAAAAGAAGAAAAAAAAGAAGGCTCAAATGCACTAAACAGGTATTACTATAGATTCCAACAAGTAACATTAAGCTCATACTTAATAAAGATTACCAGAAGCCCAGTCAATGCCGTAAATCTCTGCAGCACCAGCGGAAGCTTTTTAAGAGTTAAGGTTATAACAAGTGAATTCTCCAATATACTATTGTTGATTTCACGAAAGATCCTATCAACCCTGCCAAAAGGAGATTCAGGATTAGGAAAGGCAACATCAAAATTAAGCCTACCCCCCATATATCATATGTAAAAGGTAAAAAGTAACTCTTAATTAGAAAGTAGTTTGCTGCTCTAGAATGTAAGCAGAATCATACCAAAGTCTGCCTTCACCATCAACCAGGGAATGTAAAATTTTTTCAATGCTGTAATAGCACTCCTGAACTGCGTATGCCATATATTCATCCCTGTTTATTCTATTCCAAAGATCCGCTTGTGTATCTTTGCAGTCCAAAGCTAAATCAATTGCCAACAAGATCTGTAACAATATGTAGTTTCAGAACATAAACAGGCAACTAATACTACAATATGTTGGTAAACAGGCGGCTAATACTACAATCTGTTGGCAAGTATAGTAGAGAAGTAAAGTATTAGCAGGCTGCACCTTGCTGCTTAGAAGAAACAAAGGCCATTGAACCAATCTGAGACTGCCAGTGTTGCTAGGCATAGAAAGCAAATCCTTCTCCCTGCAAGTTACCACAAAGTCAATTACAAAACTAAGGACATACCTAATTTCTTAAACCATGTACAAGGTTCAGTGATATACCGATTACTGATGAAATCTTCCTCACGCAAACTATTAATTATCTCATTCCAAAATGGGGAAAATATTGCTGCATATGTCTTATTGCTATCTTCAGGAACCTGAGGGGAAAAAGAAAAAGAAAAAAAAATATATCAATCCAGAAAATATTAAAATTATTCAATGACAGAAATGTATTGAGAGAGAAGCAGGCACAAATCAAACCACACATTTAGTCTTCAGCCAGTTAACATAACTATATATTTTCCCTTTTTCTTTAATAGACATGCTTCCATTCCAACTTCCAACAGGGATTAGAACCATGCAACACCCCTTTGAGATGGCAGGAGATACCACTCAAGCTAACAGTTGGTGGCAATAAACATGGCCATATTAAAATTAAGTATGCCTGATGGGAAACGGAAAGGCATTGGATAAAATAAAATTCAAGGTTGTGGATTTATTTTAATGTTATTTTCTTATTAATGATTTATTGGATAAAATTGAATTGAAGAATCTGGATTTATTTTAATGTTATTTTCTTATTAATGATTTATTAGGATTTAATTGTTGAAGTTTTTTTATATTTGGTAACTTTAATTAGGGTTTCCTAGTATGCCTATAAATTGGCCATTTATGTGATGGATTTATCAGACTTCCTTGGATATTGATTAATTGGGATTGTATTCCCCTTTTTCACTCATCCTCTTGTTCTTTTCCCTGTTTCTCCAATTCTTTTTCATTATAATTCTGCTTCTCTTCATTTTGCTGCTACAACCATTTTTGTATCATAGCTAAAAAGATTAACCATTTATGTTTGATCACTACGGTTGCCTTCTTTATACAGCCTTGTTGCTTCAAACCATCATCACTATCATATGAATCAAATCAGCTTCGACGAAAAAAAAAAAATTTAATTAATTAATTAATTAAATAAAAACTTGCCCCGATCAATCAAATCAGCTTCGACGAAAAAAAAAAATTTAATTAATTAATTAATTAAATAAAAACTTGCCCCGATCAATTCTGTGATCTGGGTGTGTGTAAGCTCATCTTTTTTTCATCATCTCTGGCTAGCCTAGCTTTTAAAATATTTAATATATGCATCTAGCCAGTCTTCCCCCAATCTTGAGATTCAAAATAGAAAATAGACTCATTAGAAGTTTATAATAACAATGAATTATGGTAAAAACAAGAAAAAAATAAGCTGACGTAAACGGAAGGAATAAGCATAATTATGAAAAGAAAAGCAAGCAATAATAATGACCAAGAACATTAACTGAAAGATGCTATAATATGGTCTCTAAAATGTCTAGACTTAAAAGAAACAACATGAGATGACCAACCTGAGATGAGTGTGTACTTGAAGGCATCCTGTAAGAGTAGAGAAACAAACTTGTCATAAAAATAACATCATCGAAGAAGCCAAAATTAACATACTGCTTAGCTAAAATAATATAGTGCTTTAAAGCAAGGTAATACCAGTTTTCTATCAATAACCAAATCTATAAGCCTATAAGCCCTATACATAACTATTGCGTATACTAGAAGAAAGGCAAATACCAAACACCATACATAGAACCCATCAATTTTATTGGGATTACATATTAGAGTAGATAATCCAGACCATTTCTTATGAGTTACCAACCATTCCCCAAATTTCCTCTATAATCAAGTGATATGAGAATGTAGGGTTAGTATGAGAACAGCCAAGTTGCAAATATATTCCAAAAAATTAGGTCTGAATCCAGACCACTCCTCCCAGCCCCCTAGAACAAGGGGAGAGGAGGCCAGCACTGAATAAGGTACTTTTTCTATATCAAGCATCTGAATCAACACAAAAATCTTCCATCCTAACATACCAAGGCAATAATGATCTACATAATGTCATCCTATCTTTAAAATCCGGTACGGGTTAATAGACCAAGTTTACGTTATTTTTGGTATAGAAATTGGTACAGGAGATGCAATAGTTGCAGCATTAAAAGACGAGGGAGCATACACCGCAAAAGAGGTTAAAATCGTGTTTACAGCTACAAATTTCGCGCACTATTTATGACTAACCCATTGATTAACACAAAAAACTAAAAAATGAAGAAAATAAAAGAATACTGCAGGCTCCACTGTAGCATCAAGTTTATAAACCAAAATTTAATTTCATTGAAGGGGCTGAATCAGAAACTGAATTCCATGAGTATATTTTTGAAGCCTTCTCAGAGTCCTACATCGGGTATCGAACAAAAGGTATGAAGATGAACAGCCACGACTAAGGTAATCCTTCATTTATTTTCTAAACGAAAGGAGGACTTCCAATGTTACATTTACGACAAGTGTCAAACCATTGTCTAGGAGCAATGGAACTATCTAGCATGTCATGGACCAGTTTTAAATTCATTATGCCAAAACTCAATCTTATCAAATCTATTCTTATTCTGGAAACAGATGGCTTTTATACTGTCAAAGAGAAAGCAAGCAGCCACACACACAAAAATACGATAAGCTAGAGAGAACATTTTGAATCAACTCAACAAAGCCACTCCTAACTATATGAAGCCAGGTACACAACCCTTTTCAACAATTCAGGTCTACGTGGAGCTTTACATCATTAATTAAATTCAAGGACATCTTTCTCACCATCTTTACATAGAGAGACATTAAGGGAGAATAATACAACAATAAAAACAATAAAATTAATATTGCAAGTAGTTAAATATTTGAAGAAACATCAAGCTTCATGTGGACTGTTTTAGATCGACCGACAGAGTTCCTTGATGATCATTCTTCCAATAGACGGTGCCCGATTTAATGAGGTGAGGGGAAGGGGGGGAAAAAAAAAGAAAGAAAACCACTGAACCAAATCCAATAAATTAATGATATAAACAGCAAACAATAAGCCACCTTTTTGTTTCCGGAGACACAAGGTTCTTGACAAAGGCTTCTGGAAAACTCTCAAAGCGTTTATGTACCATTTCAAGTGAACGTATCTGCCAAAAATCAATTGTATGTGATCAAGCCAAAACAACTGGAAATTCAAAGAGCATATGAACTCAAACAAAAAGTACAGAGGATATAAACACAAACTAAAATCAAATATAGAAAAAGCACAACATTTTTTTATTCTAACTAAAGAGAAAAAACTAAAGAAAAAACACCTCATAAATCACCAACAAACAAGAAAATATTGATACCTCACCCAACCGAGCACGTGCACCCATCACACCACCAACAACGGCGGATAAGAGAGTGTACCATATGTGAATGTCCATCAGATAGATCTGAAAATATGCAGACAGAAAGTGAAAAAGAATTATCAATCAGAAAATAAGCTTCATATACTAATAGAGGTGATATGTGATGCATGTGGTGCAAGTGCATGCCATAATCAAATCCCTGCGGTAATATAATGAATAAGTGATCAACATTTGGTGGTAAGCAAAAAATGACTTTAAACTGTAAACCAAACCAAACCAAGCCTGAAGTCCCATCAACTAGGGTTGGCTGCATGAATCCTTCTTCTCCACTCGACTCTATCCGAAGCCATTTCGTTAGTCAAGTTAAGGAGATTCATATATCTATCTACTGCACTAGTCCACGTCAATCTAGATCTACCTCTTCCAATAACACTACCATCTACCGTCACTGTATCGCATCTCTTCACTACTACCTCTGTTGGTCTCCGTTGTATATGACCAAACCACCTCAATTTATTCTCTCTCAACTTATCTTCTATCAATACTACTCCTACCCATTCTCAAATATACTCATTCATAACTCTGTCTTTTCTAGTCTTGCCACACATCCACCTTAGCATCCTCATGTCAGCAACACTCATCTTATCTACATGTTGTTTCTTAGTTACCCAACATTCCGTCCCATACAACATTGCTAGTCTAATAGCCATTCTATAAAACTTCCATTTTAGTCTAATGGGTACTCGTTTATCGCACAGTACTCCAGACGTACTCCTCCACTTAAGCCACCCCGCCTTAATTCTATGGACCACATCTGCTCTAATCTCCCCAATCGTTGTGATAATCAATCCTTAATAACGAAAATGTTCATTCTTAGGTAGTTCTTGATTCTAAATTTTCACTTCTCCTCTCCTTCCATTGTGACTGTTACTAAAATTACACTCCATATAAGTTCTGTTTATCCTAAATCCTTTAGATTCAAATGTTTTTCTCCAAATCTCCAACTTAGTATTAACTCCTCTAATCACATCCGCTAACATGATATCATCTGCAAAAAACATACACCATAGCACATCATCCTAAATATTTCACGTCAACTCATCCATAACTAAAGCGAAAAGATGAGAATTTAAGGTTGATCCTTGGTGTAATCCTACAGTAATTAAAAATTCACTCATCTTTCTAGCAGGCGATCTAATAATGGTCACCACACCTTTATACATATCCTAATCACATATTAAACTCTAGTCCTTGCATATTAATTTTTTTTTTTTTTTATAAATAATCAAATATTATTAAAAAGCATCAAGGTTATACAACAAATACAAAATTGTCGCCCTAATTAGGGAAAAACAGACAAGCAAGCACTAGCCAAGCACATCATCTAAAAAATCTAAAAAGACAAATAAGTCCGGATCAGCTTTCCCCTCCACCCAACTATACAGAATTACAAGAAGACGATTCTCTAACAAAGAGACACCATGTGACACCTCGGAAAAGGTGCGTTTGTTCCGCTCCAACCAAACAAGCAGCATTAAACAAAATGGGGCCAACAACCACACCCGCCAGCATCGACACCCAAGCCAAACACCCCGCCAAACCCAAAGCAACTCCAACACTCCCTTCGGTTGGACCCAAGCAATCCCAAAAAATAAGCAAACAAAACCCCACAATCATGATGCCACCGAACAATGAAGAAACAAATGGTTCACCGGCTCCGTATTCATACAACACCGATTTACTAAAACATGCCCCCGCCGAATCAAATTATCCAAAGTGAGATTATTTCCTAAAGCGGCCGTCCACATGAAGAAAGCAACCTTAGATGGAACCCCTGGAACCCAAACACTCTTCTAAGGAAATACCCCCCCACAATCCCCCACCAATCCCCAATAGAATGACGCAACTGTAAAACACCCCTTAGCCCCCCCTCCACTCCACACCAAACCAAACCATCTTGTCCCTCCCCAGTTATCCCCAAACCATATAAAAACCCCACAACTCCACCAACTGAGCAACCTCCCAATCCTGCACCTCCCGTCGTAACTGAATATCCCAAACCACCGTACCTCCACCTCCCAAATAAGAAGCCACTGTAGCCTCCCGATCAAATGAAATATGAAAAATCAACGGGAAACGGGTCTCTAGCAAAACCCCACCACACCACCTATCCTTCCACAACCTAACCCTCACCCCACTCCCCACCTTGAACCCAACCCACTTCCAAAACTCCACCCTCCCTAGCCAAATCCCTTTCCATAACCCACAACCATAAGTACAAGCCACATCCCTTGAAACGGTCATGCTCCAACGCAAAGCGCCACAACCACTTCCCTAAGAGAGCTCTGTTGAAAGTCACCAACCGCCTCACCCCCAAACCCCCAGCTTGCTTAGGTAGACAGATCCGGCCCCAATCCACCAAATTTGCATATTAAATTATAAATTTGCCCAAAACTTGCTAATTAGTAATGGTCACATTAAGGATGGATATTACAAAAATATATAAATAAATAATCTATGGTCACATAACAGCCTGTCAGCCCCAGAAAGTATGGGGTAAGCTTCTCTTACTATATATTAGTACAAAAGATAAAACTACTATTAGTATACGGTAATAAATATAGTTCAAGATATACGAAGCCAAAAGATCAAAGAAAAACGCTCACAGCCACAACAGGAGCCCACAGGCTAGCAATGGTCAAAAAGTTATTATTGTCTGCAAGAAAACAGTACAAGAATACATTAGAAACAGAAGCCAACTCTTCCACACATGCAAAAAGAACCATCCAAAGTGACATGACTAAGAGCAGAATATTTCAGCAAAAAGGAAGGCTCATACAAGCACTTTCTATAAATAAGATTCCTCACTCTAATTACAAAATCCTTCTGAAATTTAACACAATTGCAATTCTTAATGAAGAATTATAGCTAAAGAATCATTACTTCAATAAGCAAGATCAATAAAAATTAAGGACTTCACACAAAATAAATAACCAATAGCTAGGAAGCTCAAGAGAGAGAAAAAAATGAATAAAAACCATATCACTTTAATTTAGTCTACCACTTTCAATCTGCAACCAACAAATTTTGTGATTGGTTTGGGATGTTCTAAAAAAGTGCACTTTTTGACTTATTGGCTTATATGGGTTGGGTTTGGGTTGGGTTTGATGTGATGTGTTAGAGAGGTGATGTGACTTAAATAAGATGATGTGACTTAAATAGGATAGTGACTTTTTGACTTTTTGTCTTTTTTGCCTCATGCCAAACTTGGCCTTAAATAAGATGATGTGACTTAAATAGGATAGTGACTTTTTGACTTTTTGTATTATTTAGTTTATGCCAAACCAACCCTAAATACACCATCCAAGCAGTCCCACCAAATTTAGGTTTGAAACCATTTCTTATTCTGTGGAACAAGTATACTTGGACTACAAACAGGATCCCAAAAGTAAAAAAGCCCTTGGATATAAGCAGCTAAATATAGACGTTACTCAAGACCAAGTTGCAGGCTTACGATAATAGAGAAATATGAACAGATGCACCAATTGAATTTATCTTCAAGCCATAAGCATGTCGGCAACATTCTAGTGGTCTTGGATGGAACTTAAATCTCAAAGCTATGTGTTCCAAAAGTGACAGAGTTTAGCATTCAAGCATCAATATCACTAAAGACATTAGCCCTAATTTCAGACCGTCGATCAATATAATAAGATTTCTACTCAGTGGTCTTTCCTCTTAAACCATGTCTGTACAACATACTTCAGATCACGTAGATCCAGAAATTTTACAATTCTGTATTTTCTTTTTTTTTGGAAATAATTATGATAAACAAAAAATAATATTCAGAAATTTGATTTTCATAAACGGAAAAAAAAGAACAAGTTTAGGCCAATGATTTTACTTACTGAACCGCAGCTCCACCAAATACTTTAAACCCATTAAGAAATTGCAAAGGTGTCAATGATTTCTTATATAAGAGCACAATAAATAAATTAGACTGATCTCATGGAATAATAATGTGTATATCATAACAACTACGATGTGTAAAAATGGTTTGAAATCTAACAGCTTCAATTAGGGGGAAGAATCAAAGATCTTTCTTATAGACCAACAGTGAGACCATTATGTACATTGTAGGCCTATTCCCCCCACAGCTTCGAGTTTTTGGGACTCTTAGTGTTAGTAGTAGTATTAGGTTGGCAATTTCATGACTAGTATGTGCAACCTTAGGTAGAACAACATGTTGATCATCCTGATGGTTGTGGTCCACCACAATAAAAGCACTCAGAGCCCAGGATTCACATAACACTGTACGGTCAACCATCACAGCAAATGTGGTCGACAATAGTGGTTGATGACCAACCATGACGATGTATGGTCGACTTCACTTCAGAAATTGAAAGGAAAAGAAAATTTGTTGTTAACTAGCTGTTGGTGATTCAGCTATATATACCCTCACACACCGAATTGGAGTCTTTTGATAAGAGGAAGGAACAAAGAGATATACACAACTATTTTTTTTTTTTATTCAACAGGATGTATACAACTATTACACACCCCCGTACTCATTTTGAGTGTAAATACTACATTGGATAGAGAGTGTAACCATTCCTTGCGCAAGTATTTTGAAGAGCTTACTCAAAGTTGATAAAAAGAAGGCACAAAGAGATCTATACAACTATTAGTATCACACACCCTCATTCACATTTTGTGTGAATCATACCTGGATAGAGAGTGTATCTTTCATTCCTAGCACAAGTGTTTTCAAGAGCTTACCTGAAGGGAGAATTCCAGGTTCTCCACATGTGGAAGGTATAATTATAAATCCCATCCCTTCAGTGAAGTATACTGATTATTGATAGCGCACACCACATTTGTCTCACATAGAAAATTTGAAAGTGCAAGATCAGAACTAGATTTGTGCTTTAAAATTAAGGCTTGACTTAACTTCTATAATGCCTTTCTTTGAAAGCATGTGAAAGGATGGGCATGACAGTCACAAGGCTCTAAATGCTCCATTTTGTAGATAGATCTTCTATTTGCAGTAGGCTACGGAAAGAGAAAGGTTTCCAAGGACCAACTAATACTATGGAGGCAGAAATGGTGAATCACATGATTCTGCAACATCTTTTGCAAGTTTCACAAGTGATACATTTAAAAGATTTCAACTTACTGACTTCTAATCTTCCATAAAGCTTGGAAGTCCTGGTTTGACTTGAACAAGAATTATTATTTTTGGAGGTGGAATGGTAAGCTTATGGCCACAATTTATTTCATATTTTTATCCAGTTGCTCCATAATACTTATTAAAAAGGCATGATCCAGACAATACAAGTTTCAATCACTTGATGCACGCAACAAATGAGAAGAGGATAAGCAGCCTGTTGGCAGAAGTAAACAGATATAACCAAACTTACTTTTTGACATCAAATCATGCCACGAGTACGTAAGTGATGGAAGATGTGTAATAATTTGGGTGGGACTGACCAATGGTTTAATCTGCAAAAAATGACAAATACAGCAGGTTAACAATATGATGTATCTTGTATGGACCAGACCCACATGTTTTACAAGCTAAAAACAGATAGTGGGCCCTTAACAAAGAAAAAACATTGACCATATTAAAGGATTACATTACCTGGAGAAAGTAGGCAAATGTGAATTTGCATGCAAAAATCACCAACCAGTAGAGCACATACCTGCAATAGTCAAAACAAATTGAAGGATTTAGAGACTCACAAAAATAACAACGCGGTCATGTTTCTCTGCTATGAATGGTTATAGATTGGAATTTGGAAGCAAAGTTATATCAGCTATAATTATTCACTAAAATTTCAAATCAGGACTCTAATGTCTAAGGAAAAAGTACATTTATTTTACAATAACATATAGCTTACAAGAAGATAACAAATAGTGAACATTTTCATTATCTAGGTTCAATTATGAATAATGATGGTGAGGTTGAAGATGATGTGATCTATAGAATCAAAATAGGTTGGCTCAAGTAGAAGAATGTCTCGCATATTCTATGATCGATGAATACCAACAAAATTGAAAGGAAAATTTTATAGAACACCAATAAGGAAGTGATGCCTTACGCAACAAAATGTTAGGCAACTGAAAAACAACAAATTCATAGAATAAGTGTAGCTGAGATGAAAATAGTTAGATGGATGTGTGATAAGAGTAGAAAAAATAAAATTAGAAATGAATATATTCATAAAACGGTAAGAATAACACCAAACGAAGATAAGTTGACAAAGAACATGCTAAGATAGTTTAGTCATGTACAACAAAGGCAAATAGTTGCAGCATTAACAAAGAGTTATGTGATCACTATAAACGAAAATGTTAGAGCAACTCCAATGGAATTGCTACAGTATCTGCTATTGCTAAATTATAGCAACTTAATCAAAAAAAACAAGCTTCAATGGTCATGCCAAATAGGTCGCCAAAATATGTAAATGCCAAACTTTGTGCGAAATTTGGCACAAGGTTTGGCAAAATGCTAAATTTTTGGCTAGAGCTCCTCTCTGTCTCTCTCTTTCATAGTGGGGTCCACAAATGGCATTTTGATTTTATTTTTTGTGAAGAAAATATAAGAAATGGCTACTGTACCATTAGAGAAAACATTACTAAAATTTAGTATTTTCACAATTTTAGCATTGGAGATGCTCTTAGGGGAGGGGAAGACCTAAATTGACATGTAATGCGATTAGTACAAAAAATATATGAATTTATATAATTTAACAGAGTATCTAGCCCTTGACAAAGTAGAATGGCGAAAAAAGATTCATGTAGCCAATCCCACTTGAGTGCAACACAAGGCTTAGTTTCATTTGGTAAATAGTACATAGTCAGTGGTTCACACAATATATAATTGATATAAGAATAAGATGGAGTAAGATACCATTCAGCCTATTAGGCCAAAACTAATCACAAAACCATAGGGGGTGCAACTCCTTCTAGGTAAAGAGAACACATGAAAAGTAACACCCTAAGAAGATTCTCACCATTAGGTAAATATTTGCCCAACTTCCAATTTGTTGTTCTAATGGAGTACAGACTACATTGGGTCATGGGTGGTCTAAATCCATTCCTAAAGCCTCTTTGACTTTTGTGAATGACTTGAACACTACTGCATTTAGAAGGGGTGTACTGCTTCGTATAAAACGCATCTACAGAAACTCTAAACCCCCCTCTCCCCCTTCTTTTGGAGCTCTTAGCAATATATTTTACTTCACTATAAAAATAAAAATAAAAAAGAACAAAAATAGACGGATAACCAAACCAAAACAAGCCTTAAGTCCCATCAAATGGGATTGGCTACATGAATCCTTCTTCTCCATTCGACTCTATCCAAGGCCATATTGTTAGTCAAATTAAGGAGATGCATATCTCTATTTACTACACTAGCCCGCGTCAATCTAGGTATGCCGCTTCCCTTAATACTTCCATCTACCGTCACTGTATCGCATCTTTTTACTACTGCCTCTTTTGATCTCCGTTGTATATAACCAAACCATCTGAACCTATTCTCCCTCAACTTATCTTCTACAAGTACTACTACTACCCATTCTCGAATATACTCAATTCCTAACTCTATATTTTCTAATTTTGCCACACATCCACCTTAACATTATCATCTCAACAACACTCATCTTACCAAAATGTTGTTTCTTAGTTGCCCAACATTCCGTCCCATACAACATCGCTGGTCTAATAGACGTTCTATAAAACTTCCTTTTTATTCTAGTGGATACTCGTTTATCGCACAATACCCCAGACGCACTCCTCCATTGAAATCACCCCGCCTTAATTCTATGGACTACATCCGCTCCAATCTCCCTAAATGTTGTAATAATCAATCCTAAATAATGAAAATGTTCACTCTTAGATAGTGTTTGGTCCTCAAAATACTAATATCTCAGCTGTCAGAATCTCCCAACAGCCTTAACCACACACACCTCAAAACAACCACCCTTAATAACCTTCTCAATCAATCTCTAGAGCCACATAAACCTCTATTACAAAATAGGAAACCACTTTAGGCTCCAACTATACCACTATACATGCCTTTTGACATAAAACTACGAAATGAACCTCAAGTCTACAAACAACCACAATTTATCCAAATATTCCCCAACTTTACCTCCAAGTTCTTCATGGACTCCTTTTCCATCTTTTGTTCTCTGCCAAATGCCTCCAACTCACTTCTTTTTAGTATTCAAGTAATTTCTCCAGTCCAGACTCTTTGAAGATGAGGCCCTTCTAGCCCACCAACATGCTCACTTTCATTCATAAATTAGGTTTCAAACCTTTGGGTTACTAAAACTTCCCTTAATACTAGAAAACTACACTCGGACTTTTGGGACAGACGGGTGCAGCGGATTTATTTAATTTAACCAAGAAGAATGGTGAAAAAGGAATCACATAGCCAATCCCACTTGATTGGGACACAAGGTTTAGTTTGGTTGGTCTGGTGGGCAATTAGAATATGTCGATTCAATATTTTATACGCCCCGATATGAAAATGAGATGGATGGACACTTAAATAGATATTCCACTTCAAGCTATTTCACATAAAATACAGATAACTAAACTTTAAAGAAGTGGCAATATTTGAAAATTGACGTGGTTTCAAGCTACTAGAGTTACTAAAATCCTATTTGTGTTTCTTTTAGGTTAAATATGCTACTCATTAGTTTTAAATGAATTTTTGTAAGTCAAGGGTATTTTGGCATTTTTCAGATTTGTTGGACATGGGTTGTACGGGAAATTCTATTTGCACACCAATATTCATTTTAGTACACACCATCACCCTAACTTTTTTAAATTACACTTTTATCCCTCATACAAATTACATTTTTATAAAATATTCTAGAACCCTAATACCCACCACCAAACTCCCCCACCTGACGTCCCAAGCCACCACCAAGACGATCACCCCTCCCCAACCGTCGCAGCCCCATCGCAACCCCTCCAACCCCACCACTCCACCACCACCCCTATGAAGACGGAGGAGGGGTGGAGGAGGGACTGGAGAGGGATTATGGGGTTAGGGAGGTGGTGGTAGTGGCTGCGGTTGGCAGCAATTGACCGTGGCAGAGGTTGTTGCTGCTGAAGAATTAAGGTTGGCGTTTGAGAATGGAGAAGATAGGGGTGTTTAGTATTATTGACGAATTAATGATGTGAATTGAGAAAAAGTCAATATTTTCAAAATAGGGGTGGTGTGAACTTAGAAGACGATGTGTACTGAGAATATATTGATGGTGTGCAAATAGAATTCCTCGGGTTGTAGGGGTCATCACCCATGGTTGTCATATGAGTCAAGTTATGTATTTGGTTTTTATTTATGGGTTTTATTTGATCTTAGATAGGTTTTAGAAGTCAAAAGTTCAGTAGTTTCCTACTTTAGAATTATAGTTCTAGTCGGTAAAAGAAGTCTCTTAATAGCCAATATAAAATCATGTAATGCTTGAAACTTAATACAGAATAGTTTTGAAAGAATTATTTTAGCAAATACGCTTCTGAGATTATGTGATGTAATCAAATCCTAGATGTGCAGCTTATGGTATCTGAGTGCAATGCCTAGACTTTCTTCTTTCTTTTCTTGTTAGTTTACTGCTCAGGAATTATTCACAACCTCTGGAACAGAATTAGAACAGCCACAAAATCTCGTATTTTTATTCTCAAATCTCTAACCTTTTGTTACACCTTTTGGAACCCTAAAATCCCCATAATTTAGCACTCATCCAGCTTTTAAAAAACAACTGAAATATGCCCCGGCAAAGCCTATTAATCTGCTTCCATATATTAATCTGAGCACCTCTTATAATCTAATTTACGTTGCACCAATTCAGCTACACATGTAGATCATCAGTGCCTCTTATCTATCGACTTCATCACTTGTCCAATTCCATGAATGGCGACTGGGTAAATTTATTTTATTTTTGTTGATAAGCGAATGGAGACTGGGCAATATGATCAAAAGTTGTAAATTCTTCCACATCACTAGCTCATTAAAGCTTCTTGACAACAAAACTTTTCATATACAGATCATTCACTCGCTTAGAATTACAAAGGAAAGAAATGGACAATTTAAGAATGTATTATCCATAACTTTTTCCCGCTGGGGTATGAGGCAACACTAAGTTAGTCAGTGTGCTATTCCACACTTACACATTATCTTGTGTCCAAGACGGGTACTTCACAATTTTAAAGAGTCCATGAAACAGATCATCTATGTTACCTACGAGTTCCTGAAATGCATCGAGGACTCGACCAACTAAATTAAAATCTTGAAGTTCTCATATCTTGAACTAAATGTATCAATCCTAATTCCTAACATATATGATGATGACACTGATAAAACTAACACAAAGATAATACATGTTTTCACAACAGGTCAGCAGAGTGAATTCATTATTCCACCTTTCCTAGAGTTGAAACCAACAAGTTGCATGAAGAAAAAATTCCAGCCAAGCCCAATTAACAAACCATTTCAATAATTAAGTTTGTTCTGTAATTCAAGAGCATGAGATTGATAAAGCACCAGAATCCTGAAGAATGGACCATCATTACCTAACATCTTACAAAACAAATAGTACACTCAATGTGTCTATTTCAAACACCTAAGTGGGACAGAAACCATTTCAACCCCAAAGATGAAATTTCAGAGCTACAAAAACATATATGAATCCAAAAGCAAGTGAAGAAACTACATCTCAAAGCATTCAGCAACGCAATTAAATGCAAGAGAAAATTCATTAGAAAAAGATTACAGATACCTCATCAACCACCATTCTGAAAGAGGCGGGTTTAAAAGTATGAACCACACAAGTTAGCTCTAAAATCAAATTTTTCTCACACATATTGCAAACTAAAGCAAGAGGATCATAAAAGTTTCTTACAGAATAGCTGATGCTATATATTACAAACCAACCAAATAAGGTAAAAATATTAAAATTAAGCAATCTAGTTCAGATAGCAAAAATTCCACCTCACTAGTAAACAATATGAAATTAAATATTATTTAATAATGAATGATGACAAACCTTAAATAATCAGTGGTTCTTTCATATAGGCCACGGCCCACAAAGTATCGCTCCTGCAAACAACCAAACAAGTTTGTGAAACACAACATTAAAATATACTTTTAATCAATCTCCAGAATCAATTTCAATTTCAACGCTAGTATATTCAACAATAATTACCTCATAAATCCACTTGAAAAATTGAAAGAATGATTGATCAGTCATTGCGGACAATGAATGACAAACCGGAAATTTAAGTAACATTGAAAAAACTAGGCGTAGACCGGCATAAACACCCAACACAAGAATATAAATCCGAAAATAAAATGAATCGGACGTCGACTTATTGCTTTCCTCCACAACCTTCCTGAAAATTCATTTTGCCAGGTGAGGGAGCAAATAGAGCCATATTGAATTCAATGGAAAACTAAGATAAAAATTAAAAACAAAAAAATAACAAAATAAAAAGACCGAAGAAGAATCAACGAAGGAAAACAATAAGAAGGAGGTTGTACGCTCACACATAAAGATATGTCACAAATGCAGAGCTCAACCCAAACCAGAAAAACCTAATAACCAGCCTAGAGATAGCCATGGCTCTTGCTGTGCTGTAAGCTCCAAATGTAAGCAGGACATCTAAACAACCTGCATAAGTCATACATGACACAGTGAACAAAAAAAGAAAATAAGGAAAAGCAAGACAAAGAAAATTTTAGATTTCAAAAGTTAGTGGAATAACAAAAAGATATAACTACATAGGAAAATACATAAAAACTCACTCTCAATGAAGTTCATGATTGTATAAGTTGGTCCAACACTAAGTACAGCTTTAAAAGTATCGAGATTAATTTTCCCACCGTGGAAGGCTATGATTGTCAGCATCTGAAGAAGATTAAAACACACATTTGATTTTTTATTTCAGCCATAAAGAAACTGCATATAAGACAGGTGCAGTAATAGCAGATGGACAACCAATATTTACCTGGAACATTACAACCAAAAAAATCCACATACGATGAAAACTTCGATACAAGTGAAGAAATGTCCGATGCTCAACAAAAGAGCTTTTCCCAGTCTGCCAATTCACGAACAAAATTATTAAAAAAGAGAGATGACTTGATGAAAGGAGAAAACAAATTGTCGGGTACAAGTGTTGGATCAAAGAATTAGAAGATAAAAAAAAGGACAGAATTTCCCCTGCATGCAGTATTGCCAAAAGAATGGATAAAGAAAAAAGTACAAATACAGCAATAGCCAAAGATGCAAAAAAAATAAATAAATAAACTACAAATAGTAAAGCTCCACCAAACATGTACCCAAATGGGTAGAATGAAAAGAAGACATACTTTCATCTTTAAGATACAACAATGACATCATGGGAAGAAGAAGAGGAAAGGATGAGGTCAGGCTTTGAGCATGAAATTGGAAAAGTTAACAGTTTCAGAGCCAGAAATAAGATTAACTTGTTTAGCCATAATGATTGAAGCTATGGTAGTAGTGGCAACAACAGTATGGAAAGGATGAAGTAGAAGAGATCACCAAGCAGTGAATTAGCACTATCATCGTAGTAGTGACCATAACATATTCCTAGGGGAACAAAAGAAGAAAAGTTTTAGTTCCATACAGCATCACTGGTTAGGAGCAAATCTAGCAGTAGAATGGAGATAAACTACTATTTTCCAAAAGAGAGTGTTTACAGGACCTTCCATAAGACTAATGACATTTCCAGCATTGACCATGACCCTAAGGTGATGTTGGATGACCAGTGAAGAAAATAGATGTAAAAGAAAAGAAAGGGTACACCAAAAAAAAATAACAGAAACACTAAATCACTTTTTTACAATATCTAAAATTCAATATCATAGTATGAATCCTATTACATAATAGCCAATTGATAGGCACGCACAGAAAACCCTAACAAGAGTGACCAAAATTCAAATAATACAATAAATAAATCTTAATTAATATTCTAATATTGATAAAATTCCTAAAAATCAAACTTTCCAAAGTAATCCTTTTCTTTCCTCATAACAAGGACTGATTATAGTATAAAAATGTTGACTCAACCAAATGATTGTTGAATGTATGACTGCATGCAAATTAACAACACAAACTTAGCACAAAAGACTGACAACATTCTGAGCCAAAAAGACTGTAAAATTAATATGCAATTTATTACTGTGAAAGAAGTAAAATTTTCGAAATTCTCACATCCAATCTCTGAAATAGCTGATGCCGCCAAAAGAAGTGGAAATGCCATAAGCAGAAATGAACAGATCAACATTCCAACTACACACCACACACGCCCCATGTAACTTAAATGAATTTTCAGTGGATGTTAAGGACCACAGTAAAACCCCATGTGGAGACTAAACCCAACAAGGAAGCCTTTTCTCATTCTACAAAGAAATACAGCTGATTGTCGTAATATATACTGTAGGTTCAATTCTTTATGAATCAAATCATTTGTCAGTTTTCAGGAGATTACTAAATTAGACAACTTATATGCCATTCAAACAACAAAAGCAATGTCAATATCCACATTGATAAAATCAAAAGGGAAGCTCATACTAGTGCTACACTTCACATTAAAAGGTTTACAAGATCCAATACACTCATAAAACAAAATAAAACAAAGAAAAGAAAAAACAAAACAAAACAGGAAACAAAAATAAAAATAAAACATCTAATATAGACTGGAATACACAACAAAAACAATTATTGGAAGAAGTCATTGCTAGAAGCCTAGAACCAACCCTTTTCCTCTTTTTGGGCTTCATCAAAAATGATGAATCCCTTTTCATAGGCCAGCCCAACTCAAAGCAACCAGGTGACCTGCATATACAATAAGAATGAGATTACAAAACATAATCCAAATGGAGTAACAAACTGCAAAATTATTAGATTTATGCAAAAAAGAACCAGAAATATTCGTTAAAATCATCATAATTCCTCCAGGACGAGTGTGAGGCTTTCCCATTATTGTTTTCCTCAGCTTCCTGTGAATACAAAATTTGAGGCACACAATAAAAGAGCTGACTAGAGAGAAGAAAAAGAGAGAGAAGAAATAATCTACATTGTACACAAACAACTCCTGGGGATATCCTATTATATCTCAATTCCAAGTCAAACAACCATACCGATGCCAAATGGCAATTAAGAAATCCATTCAACTATTCAATAGATCCAAAAACAGAATATATGGAGAATTGATCCAAAAGGGAAGATCAAAAGATTCAAAAAGAATAAGAATAGAGAAAACGAACACAAGGGTCACAACGTAATAATAATATTAATCCAAGGCTATCTAATACAATCAAAAGTACTTTATTTATAAGCTAAAAACCCTAACTCAAACTAGGAAAATAAATCCCTAAAAACAAGAAACAAAATTTAGATAATATCTTAATTAAGCTATAATTAAAAAGAGAATAAATAAATAAATATTAATGGCATAAGATTAGAAAATAAAAAATAAAATCTCCCATTCAAGTTATCGTTCTCCCCGACTGAGAAAATGAACTCTTCCTCAAGTTCTCCTTTAAATATTGATCAAGGCCATGCAAACAAATCAAATATTTTAAATATGCTAGTTGTGTGATATTTGTCTCATTCCACCTAATTTTTGTGGTCAGACTGTTGAGGAAATCCACAAAGCATGGATTGAATACACAGAGAAAATCTTTTGTGCCAATAAAATCATCCCTTTGAACTTGACCAAGCAATCAGTTGGTGGATAGGATCCAACAAGTTGAGTGCATCTGTACGTTCAAGAAGCTCTCCTTTCGGTAGGAGCATTGTCTGCGTGAGAGCGGCTTCTTGGACTTCCAAATTTCAATTTCCTCTGCCATTGGGCCTTAGTTTTTAGGTTGTCTTAATGGGTGAACTGGGCTTAGTTTTGGGCTTGGTTTTTTGGGTGGCAGTGGACCATTTGAAAAGGGAGTGGGCTGGGTTTATTTTTATTAGAGGGTGGGTTGGGTATGGGCTTAGGGTTTTTGTGCCAATTTAAGGAGTGGGCAAGGCTACTTGGACCATGCAGGTTGGGTTGGATTGAAAAATTTTGAGTTGGTGATATGGCTGTAGGCTAGGTTAATGGGGTTGGGATCAACCCTAAAAAAAAGATAGTAGGTTGGGTAATGGGTTTGGTTCAGATCACGACAAAATGAATCAAACTCAGTTGAGTTCTGGGTGGTCTTCTTCAATTTCTCAGTCGAAGCCCTAAGGCTTTGTCGATGCAGTGCAGGTGAAGACTGTTGAAGGTGGCAGCGGACAAAACGAAAGGCAAAACCATAAGGATTTCCTTGCAGTCGATTGCAGGAAGATTGCCAGGTATGAGTGGACAAGGATGGGTTTCGCTAGAATGATTTGACCGAACAGAACCAAATGGTGTTCGAAGATGGCAGCAATCTAGAATAGATCTTCGCTAACCTTTGTTATAATACACTAGTGCAAAAATATTGTTATTCAAGTCTAGGTTTTCGTACAACCCTCCTGAATATCTCTTAATTGAACCTGAACAACCACTAATCAAAAGGCACCAAGCCTTCCTGATGGCTGTGCATCATGAGGATAGTGGATTGCTCTGATGTTGCTGACATGACAATTAGTAGCAATGTTGCTATGGATTTTTATCTATTTATTTATTTATTTTTTGGGGGGGTGGGGTTCAAACGATGAGGTCATATCAAGAAGGCAACCACATCAAATAAACAAAGACATTGATAATATTAATAGTTTGCTCTAATACCAAATAATGTCGAACATCAAATAAACAAAGACATTGATAATATTATTAGTTTGCTCTAATACCAAATAATGTCGAACACTTATAAAAAAAAGTCCATTCAACTATTCAATTTATCCAAAACCAGAATATATGGAGAACTGATCCAAAACGGAAGATTAAACGTTACCTTTCAAGAAGAATAATAATTGGGGAGAACACAAGAGGCACGGCCTAATGCTTGAATACAATCGAAATCACTTTATTTATAGGCTAAAAACCCTAATTCAAACTGGGTTTTGAATTTTGGGGGTGGCAACAGATACCACTCAAGCTAGTAGCTGGCGAAAAACATCGCTGCAGATAATATGCTTTGCAAAGTTATATTCCAAGTTGGAGGCACGTCAAGCATAGCCTACGAATGCCAAGAAAGTGTCCTTGCAAAATTTAGTAATGTACTCCTTTACTACAGACACATCCAAAATGTACGAAATTTGTACAAGGACAGTCTAAGTCGTAATAGACCTGACACAGACATGGCTTAAAATCTTAAATTGCAACGCTATAGCATAAGAAATGTGCCACATACAAAGTTTTTTATTGATCAGTGGCTCATATGAAACCCAATACTAATGACATGATTCAGAGAAGGCAGCCTAATTGCTATACCAATGTAGAGACTCAATGTGAAGTATATCCTCTTTTGACATAATGGCCTTTAATACATAAAGAAACATAAAGTCAAGAAAAAATTCAGCCAAAATCCAATTACACAACTAGGAAACCAATATAGCAAGATTCACTGACCTTTGCCACTGTCCCATATATGGGACAAATGATTTGCTCAAGGAAGGACACTGAATCATTTTCGCCCATACAACTAGCCACTGGAGTAGCTTCACCGTGGTCCAATATTGCATCTAACTCTCTTGCCATCTGCAGAAGGCATAATTAGTAACATATTACTAAAACGTCAAACAGTACAACTATTGATCTTTGGATTTGTCCTGTGAACCAATCAATGTCAATGAAAACTTTTATTAATTTTATAAGCAAACAGTACTCACAAACAGCTCAAAAAGAAAAAGACCCATTAGTGAACACTTAAAAATAATAATTTTAGCTTCTTTTTTTTAATTTAAAACCCAACTTCAAAAAAGTAGCTTTTTGAGATTATTTGAAGCTTTTTAAGCTGAAAAAACAAGTAAGCTGAAAAGTGAAATCAAACACCCTACCTTTTAAAGTAAAACTATTTAAACATGTGATTTCATATTATAAACTAAATAAGCAGCAATAAACTGGGCTATTTCTGAATGAAAATTCAGCATGATAACCAACATATATTACACAGCATAACTACTACTATAGAACAAAAAGCTTGCTGAGTTGCACAATAAGACAAGCTACCCGATCAAATAGTAAGTGAATTAGCAGCCATAAGAAAGGGCTTACATGGTGGAATATATAGCAAATACATTCAGGAAGAAAACGGACATTTGCAGCTTCACCCCATATGAGGAAGTACAGAGAAACCAAAAAGAGCTTTCTTTCCCGATTAATTGCTTCTAAACTGTCCAACGTACATAAATAAATACACAGAGAATGCAAATTAGTTGCGCATAAAGGAACTTGAGGCATTTCAAAAAAGCAGCAGGCTGCAGAAGTCACCTATTCCATACAAGGCGTATCCGCAAATATTTGCACCATTTGATGTAGTTATCCAGTACCTTCAAGAAAACTTCATTGATAGCTTTCTCATCTATTTTCTGCTAAAGGAAATCATAAAGATTAATCAACTAGCTTTGCATCAAAAAGGACAAAAAGGAAACATGAATATCTGGCTTCTGCAACACAGATTACTGAATCCAAAAATAAGACTTAGCTGCCATATTTTCAGATGCATGAAAAAGTGCCCATATAAAATTGGCTTCAAAAATTTTTTTCTCAGTAAGTACTACGCCCAAGTATAATAGCAATAGCAATATACTTTATAAATGCATTTAAAGCAACATGGATTCATACAGAACTTAAACTTCTATAAAAGTATCCAATCCAAGGTTCTGGAATCTGGCCGGCATTGTGCAAAAACTTCAACAATTTTGACCACTTGTAAACTGTATAGAAGTGTCAAAGGCTTTTTAAACTAGCAGAGGATTGTATGGCCCTTTTTACAGGCACTATGAGATTCAATATTTTAGGCCTTCTGGTTACAACGTACAGCAGGGAAACAATTCTACAAGATCTGAGGATTGGCAATACATCATAATGTTTTGAAGATTGGTCACTTTGAATGAAAATTTACTTGATATCATTTTCCTTTTCCCAAGAACTTTTTGGATGCTGATAAATTAAAAAGCTATTGAGAACATATTGTCGTACCATTCTGTGAAATTAAAAGTTCAGCAGTACTGTGAAATTCTCAAATAATAGGTTTCCATATGAGTTCAAGTTTGGGAGAAGAAAACTTGTTGTGAGTAGTTCTGTGAAAGAAAGTCAGGCTTAGAATGTCATAGAGAAGACAGGTAAATAGTATTCTTATCCATAAATTGTGTCAAGTTGAGGGAGAATACGGCTCCAATCAGAACTCATTAACAAAGGCAAACAACTTAACCAGGTATGAACCAATTGTTCAGGAAAGAAGGTCATCCACATAAGTCATCACTCACCGGATCACCCTCACCAGGGATTCCAAGTCGTGACTGCGCATTTGCTACAGTGAGAACAACATTCTCACGCTGGTTCCTTATATTGTCTTTCTGTAAAGTTCAACGAGATAAGCCATTAGAGCTAAAACAAGAAAAAATAACAGCAATGACAAAAAAAGCAGGAAAGAATCATTATTAACCAATATTATGCCGGGTAAAACGACGACAGATTAATAGAGATATTCTGAATAAATATCAAGAAAGCATGTACCACATGCGCATATGCTCGAACAAAAGGATGAGGAGGAGGAGGACAATAACTAGGACAGCGGATAATGATGATTAATGATTAACCAAGATTGTCCCTAGTAAATTCATGGCACTTTTACAGACATATACTGAATAAGTTTCTTTTTTTTTATCAGCAACAAAGAAGTTTTATTAATAAAGAAAAGATTACAAAGGGAAAAAGTAGGAAGTTTTATTAATAAAAGAAAAGATTACAAAGGGAAAAAGTAGGACAAGATGTCCATCCAAAAACAAAGGAAGGAAAATAAAACCACCAAAATTGCTTTTCACACACCGCTTTCTAATTTGAAGTAATTAAAAAATTTTAAAAAAGGAACTAATGCATGACAAGTAGGGACAGCACTGGATTTTGAAAACAGAGGTTATTTGGCGGCTTAAACAATGAGTAATTTAGGGTTTTGAGGATTAAATTGAAAGCTAATAGGTAGGGGAAGGGATTAGGGTTGATTTGGGGGTGATTGGATAGAGTTTTGTTGAAAAAAGCACTTTTACAGGGCTGTGAATAATAATCTGAGAATAGTAAATTGAAACCACAAAAAAAAAGGGGGAAAGAAGAAGATAGGCCTAGGAATCACTCATAGAATCCCTAAGGCATCACACCTAGGGTTTGATTGCATCACACAATCCATAAAAAGGTTCAAAACTCTCAAATTTTTATAAAATATCAACTCTATTGAATTAGAAGCATTACATAACTTTATTTAGACTTTAGAGACGTCCTCAACCAACTAGAGCCAACTCAATTAAATAACTTTACCCCCAAGATGACCCATGCACAACCCCTACAACCTATGACAACAATAATTAAAATTACAAAAATACCCTTGACCTAAAAATTCTAGAAAACATAAAAAAAATCAAAAAATAAGATTCAAAATCCTAAAAATATTATTATATAAAATTCCTATCAGTTTCACTTTGAAATCATGCCAATTTTCAAATATAGCCACTTCTTTGAATTGACTCTTCTTTGAGCCTCTTATATTCTGCATCAGGAACCTCCTTAAATGCCGAAGATACTGAAGCCCAAAAAAAAGCAAAATAGCAAATATTTTGCCATAAACCGTCAATATCGTTGAACTTGTCTTAAAAAAATCCTTGCATTCCTTTCAACAAATAACCCAAAATATCACATTTTACTATTATGACAAGTCGTTTTGCCTTTTGAGAGCAAGAAGCGGAGCATATTGATAGATTATTTGAAAGATGAACAAAACCACAAGTAAGGACATACTCCTGGACCTGAATGGGCACTTACTCTTCTATAAGGGAAAGCATTGAAACGACCCATGACTCTATTCTGGAGCACGAACTCAAGCTGTACTATTAATACCAAAATCCTCTTAAATCAATCACTAACTACTGACTACATGAAAAGAGTAATACCCAATCCATTCCTACCAACCAACACAACCATATAAGGCCAAAGCCACATGACAATGCAAAAATAACTAGGGACTCTCCTCTCCCTCCTACACGTAATACACCACTCTGGATGCAAATAACAAGTTGGTCTCCATGTCTGAAGCATGTCATTGGTGTTCAGTTTCTTATGAGCCATAGTCCAAACAAATGATTTTACTTTAAACAACACAAATGCATTACGAATAATGTTAAAAAGGGCAAAGATAGGTAAATTTGGAACATCAATCAACTTATCAAAAAATGGATAGTTCATAATCTCTCGTCACCACCTCAAAGAAACACCCTCAAGTAAAAATAGCAACATGATGAAACCAATTAGGGTCTCATGTTTAAAGGGTCGGTGATCCCATGCAAAACCATATACCGTGTTAAGCTACTAAGAGCATGTTTGGTACAATGGAATGAAATGAAGTGGGAATGGAATGAAAGTGAGAATGGAATAAAAGGTTGAATGGAATGAAATGTCCATTCCCATTCTATTGTTTGTTTACCAACATGGAATGGCATAGGAATAGGATAATAATTCTCACTCTCACGTTTGGTTATATCTATTAAACTCATGGAATGAAATAAGTTTTATTGTTTATTTATTTTTTTAACAAGCTAACAACAAATAAATCAAAAACTTACATAGATCATGGTAATATTGATAATTGTGAAAATGATGGTGTGAATCGTAGTGGCAGCATTGGTGGTGGTGATAGAAATGATAGTAGGATGGTGGTAGTAGATTGTTGTAGCCTTAGTGGTGATGGTAAGCTAGTGTTGTGGTTGGCGGTTGCAGTGGCCAACGATAGTAGTGGCAGTAGTAGTGGCGACATCGGTACTACGGTAGAGGTCTATGAAGCACCGACACGTTCCCTAGGCCTGCGTACGAGTGTCGAACACATGTCGGACATGCGGTGGACACATGTCCGACACTCTCTCTAACGTGTCCTCTTTTTTTTTTTGAATTTTTGCAGTGGGAGACGCCATGGACACGCTGTGACACTTTCCGGACACGCCTGAGGTGGATCGAATCGAAGCCCTAACCCTAACTGAAATAGAGAAAGAGAGAAAGAGATCGAGGGAGAAGAGGAGACAGCGAAAGAGATCAAGGAACAAGAGAAGACAGAGATCGAGGGAGGAGATGAGAGGAGACAGACAGAGAAAGAGACAGAGAAAGAGATAAGAGGGAGGAGGAGAGGAGCCTAACCTGTTCTGATCAATGAAGAAGCTGAGGTATTCTTCTGTCTCCATTTCTTCGCCTCGTCCTCTTTTGTCTCCATCTTCTTCTCCTTCTTCTCCTCCCTATTCTTCTTCGACTTCTCCTGTTCTCTCTCTCTCTCTTCTCCTCCCCTTTTGCTGATTCACTTTCCCCTTTTGCTTCACTTTCCCCTCTTTTTTTATTTCACACGTTTCTCTCTCTCTCTCTCTCCTCTTTTATTTCCTTCACTCTTTTTTTTCTTTTTTCTTTTTTCTTTTTTTTATCTTTATTTTTGTTAAACCTAAAATTCATAAAATAAATTATTTTTATTTAAAAAAACTCATTTTTTATTAAAAAAAATTAAAAAATATGTTTATTAATTTTATTATTATTGTAATTGTATAAAAATTAATGATTTTCTTTTTATTTTAGACATATAATAAATAAATAAAATTATATATATTAAACGTGTCCCCAGCGTGTCATGTCCCCCATTTTTTGAAAAATTGCGTGTCCGTGTGTCCGTGTCGTGTCCCGTGTCCGTGTCCGTGTCCGTGCTACTTAGATTGCAATACTTTATTTTAGGTGATTGTATGTTGAAAATTTGTGTTGCATTGTTGCGCCCATTGTCCAAGTTGTTTGTTGTGCCCAATGGGAAAAACAGAGTTCGTTTGTGCCCACTGCCCACTGGTTGTTTGTTTGTTGTATATGCATGCACAGCACACTGTGTAACTGAATCTGAATAGAGTGTTTGTTTGTTTGAATCTAAATCTGAACAGGTTGTTTTTGTATATTGCAGCAATGCAAACTGATATAGAAGTCTTCTGTGATCCCACACACAATGTTTGAACTAGTTTGTAATACTATTCTATTATAAGTTGTTATATTCTATTAATAGAAGACTTCTAATAGAATAGAAGTCTATTATTATGCATGCACAGCGCGCGCACACTGTTTGTAATACTATTGTTCGTGTGTTTTTGCTGTATATGTGTTTGTTTGCTTTGCCCACTACAGTGTTTATTTATGTATGCATTGCACATAGGTGGTGGTTGAGAAAAGAAGTGCACTTTTTTTTTTTTTCTTTTTTTGAGGAAGTACACATGTTAAATTATGTCGAAAATTTATAAAATTTTAAACCGCCAACACAATTCGCATCCATCCACCAATCCGCATCCGCCGGATTGGTAGATGGATGTGGATGGATTTTCTCCAATCCGGCGAACGGATGACGGATTAGAAGTTTCGTGGCCGCAACCAACCTGCGACCACCCCTACTACTAATTGTAAAAAACATGAAGTCCTTGAATGCAGATGATAAATCTCATGACACAACTAACAAAAATTTAAAAAAAAAAAAAAAATTCAATCATTCTAAAAATGTTTTAAAATATACTAAAAGTTGATTAGAGAAATTTCAATAAGGAACATAGAAATTAGGTTCATTTTGTTCTAGTTGTTTTCTTGTTGCTTAACAAATATATCCCTTTCTTATTTCTAGTTTTTCATTTGTAGTAAATGCGAGAAAGATATTCAAAGTTATTCTAAATAAATTCCTTAATGATGTAAACTCTAAATCTTGAGTGCCCAAATTTAATTCTGCTTTAGAAACCTGATAATTTCTTATTTGTTTTCTATGTGCTTTCTATAATAATACCAGAGGTTCCTATTAACTTGTTTCTTCTTTTTACTTAGTTCCAGCTAAGCATCCATCATACTATATAAATCAAACATATCTGGACACGTGTCCGACACTCTCTCTAACGTGTCCTCTTTTTTTTTTTGAATTTTTGCAGTGGGAGACGCCATGGACACGCTGTGACACTTTCCGGACACGCCTGAGGTGGATCGAATCGAAGCCCTAACCCTAACTGAAATAGAGAAAGAGAAAGAGATCAAGGGAGAAGAGGAGACAACGAAAGAGATCAAGGAACGAGAGAAGACAAAGATCGAGGGAGGAGATGAGAGGAGACAGACAGAGAAAGAGACAGAGAAAGAGATAAGAGGGAGGAGAAGAGAGGAGCCTAACCTGTTCTGATCAATGAAGAAGCTGAGGTATTCTTCTCTCTCCATTTCTTCGCCTCGTCCTCTTCTGTCTCCATCTTCTTCTCCTTCTTCTCCTCCCTGTTCTTCTTCGACTTCTCCTGTTCTCTCTCTCTCTTCTCCTCCCCTTTTGCTTCACTTTCCCCTC